AATATGGTACTATAGTTGTTTTTCTTTGTTGTGTCTTTTTATGGTTTTGGAATTAAGGTGATGCTGGCCTTATTTAAAGAGTTTGGAAGGATTCCCTCCCTTTCAGTTGTTTTGAATAGCTTGAGCAGAATTGTAATTAGTCTTGAAACATCTGGTAAAATTCATCAGTGAAGCTGCTGGGCTTTTTCTGTTCGGAAGGTCTATTTTTAAAAAGATTTATTGGGCTGGCGCTGTGGCACAGTGGGTTAAAGCCTTGGCCTGAAGTGCCAGCATCCCATACGGGTGCTGGTTCTAGTCCCGGCTGCTCTTCTTCCTATCCATCTTTCTGCTGTGGCCTGGGAAAGCAATAGAAGATGGCCCAAGTCCTTGGGCCCCTGCACCTATGTGGGAGACCCAGAAGAGGCTCCTGGCTCCTGACTTCAGATCAGTGCAGCTCCAGCCATTGCGGCCAGCTGGGGAGTGAACAAGCAGTTGGAAGACCTCTCTCTGTGTCTCTACCTCTCTCTGTAACTCTGTCTTTCAACTAAATAAATAAATCTTTTTTTAAAAAAAGTTAGAGTTTGAGGCAGTGAGAGAGAGAGAAAGAGGTCTTTCATCTGCTGGTTCACTCCTCAAATGGCTGCAATGGCCAAAACTGTGAAAATCCAAAGCCAGCAGCCAGGAGCCTCATCAAGATCTCCCACGTGGGTGCAGAGGCCCAAAGATTTGGGCCATCTTATACTGCTTTCCCAGGCTTTAGCAGAGAGCTGGATAGAAAGTGGAGCTGCTGGGGCTTGAACCAGCACCCATATGGGATGCCTGTACTGCAGGTGGTGGCTTTACCCGCTATGCCACAACACCAGTCCTGGGAGTGTCTATATTACTGATTCAATCTCCATCTTCGTTTTTGGTCTGTTTAGGTTTTTTATGTCTTCATGATTCAGTTTTGGTAGTTTGTAAGTGTCTGGGAATCTATCCATTTATTGAAGATTTTCTAATTTATTGGCATACAGCTCTTTGTTATAATTTCTGATGATTCTTATTTCTGTGGTATCCATTTTTATACCTCCATTTTTATCTCTGATTTTATTAATTTGAGTCTTCTCCCTATTTTTTGGTTAGTTGGGCCAATGATGTATCAATTTATTTTTTTAAAAAACCAACTCTTCATTTCACTGATCTTTTGTGTTATTTTTTCTTTTATTTTTTTTAATTTCTTCTCTAATTTTAATTATTTATTTCCTCCTACTAATTTTGAATTTGGTTTGTTGTTATTTTTCTAGGTCCTTGAGATACATTGAAGCTCATTTTTTGATTCCTTTTGAATTTCTTGATGTAGGCAATTGCTATAAACTTCCCTCTTAACACTGCTTTTGCTGTATCCATAAATTTTGATATGTTGTTTTCTTCTTTTGTTTCAAGGAATTTTTTGACTGCCCTTTTATTTCTTCTGTGACACACTGTTATTTCACAAGGTAGTTATTCAGTCTCCATGTGTTGGCATATTTTCTAGAGATTCTTAAATTGTTAATTTCCAGCTTAATTCCATTGTGGTCAGAAAAAAATCATTGTATAATTCATTTTTTTTTAATTTTCTGAGATCTGCATTATAGGCTAGCATATGGTCTATCCTAGAGAAAGTTACATGCATTGATGAAAAGAATATGTGTTCTTCAACTGTGAGATGAAATGTTCTGTAATTATCAGTAAAGTCCATTTGATCCATAGTGTAGATTGACTCTGTTGATTCGGGGTTGATTTTCTGTTGAGTGAAATGTCCACTGATGAACATAGGGTGTTGAAGTCCCCCTTTTCTATTGGAGTCTGTTTCTCTCTTTAGATCCATAAACATTTGTTTGATATAGCTAGGCTCCCTGTCATGAGTGCATACACTTTTACTATAGTCACACCTTCCTGTTGAGTTGATTCCTTAATCATTACCTAATGCTCTTTGTCTCTTCTAACAGTTATTGTATTAAAGTCTAATTTTTCTTATGTTAGGATGGCTAAACCTGCTTTCTTTGGTTTCCATTAGCATGGAATACTTTTTGCCATCCTTTCACTTTAAATCTGTGTGTATCTTGGTTGGTATAGTGTGCTTCTTGGAGGCAGCAAATAGATGTGTCTTGCTTTTTTAAAAATTTATTTATTTGAAAGGAAGAATTACAGTGAGGTAGAGAGAGAGAGAAAGAGAGAGAAATCTTTTATCTACTGGTTCACTCCTCAAATGGCCACAATGGCTGGAGCTGGGCTGATCCAATGTTGGGAGCCTGGAGCTTCTTCCAGGTCTCCCATGTGGGTGCAGGGGCCCAAGGACTTGGGCCATTCTCCACTGCTTTCCCAGGCCATAGCAGAGACCTAGATTGGAAGTGAAGTAGCCAGAACTCGAACCAGTGTGCATATGGGATGCCAACATTTCAGGCAATGCCTTTACCCACTACTCCACAGCATCGGCCCCAGATCTTGCTTTTTAATCCATTCAGCCAGTCTGTATATTTTAATTGGAGAATTTAGGTCATTTGCAGTCAAAGTTACTATGGATAAATAGTCAATTGGTCCTGCCATTTTTCCTGTAAATATTCCTATTATTTGTTTTGAATTTCCTTTATACTTTTACTAGGAGATTTTCTCTCTTCACATTATTTCATAATGATGACTGTCTTTCCCTGTTTCTGTGTGCAACACCTACTTTAAGCATCATTTGTAAAGATGGATAAGTGGTGACAAATTATTTCAACTTCTGTTTGTTATGCAAGGTCTTTATTTCACCTTCACTCATATATAAGAGCTTTGCAGGATACAGTATTCTGGGTGGACAATGTTTTTTCTCTTAAGATTTGGACAGTGTCTCCCTATTCTCTCCTAGCCTAGGAAGTTTCTGATGAGAAGTCAGCTGTGAATCTAATTGGATATCCTCTGAAAGTAATCTGGCATTTCTCTCATGCACATTTAGAATCTTTCTTTTATGTATTTACTAAGTTTGACTACAATGTATCATGGTGAAGATCTTTCTTCATCATGTCTATTAGGAGTTCCATGTGTTTCCTGTACTTGGACGTCCCTTCCTTTCTCCAAATTAGGGAAGTTTTCTGTTATTATTTCACTAAATTGTCCTTCTAATCCATTCTCTCTTTCCACACCTTCAGGAACTCCTAAGACCTGTATATAGGGTTGATTGAAGTGTCCCATAAATCTTGAAGACTGTTTTTAATTTTTTCTAATTTATTTATTTTTTGGGGGGATCTGAGATATTTCCAGAGATTTGTCTTCTAGTTCAAATATTCACCAAGTATGTTGTTGAGGCTTTCCACTGTATTTTATTTGACATATTGAATTGTTCATTTCTAATATTTCTAATATTTCATTCAAAATCTCAATTTCTTTTTTTTTTAACCAGGCAGAGTTAGAGAGTGAGAGAGAGAGAGAGAGAGACAAAGAGAGAATTATAGACAGTGAGAGAGAGAGAGAAAGGTCTTCCTTCCATTGGTTCACCCCCCAAATGGCCGCTACAGCCGGCGCTGTGCTGATCCAAAGCCAGGAGCCAGGTGCTTCCTCCTGGTATCCCATGCGGGTGCAGGGCCCAAGTGCTTGGGCCATCCTCCACTGCCTTCCCAGGCCACAGCAGAGAGCTGGACTGGAAGAGGAGCAACCAAGACAGAATCCAGCGCCCTGACCGGGACTAGAACCCGGGGTGCTGGTGCCACAGGCGAAGGATTAGCCTAGTGTTCCATGGCACCGGCCTCAAAATCTCAATTTCATAGGGATTTTTTTTCATTCATATCATGTATGGATTTATTTAATTCATGAATTTTCTTTACATTGCTTCTGAGTTATCCTATGATCATTCTTTTGAACTCCTTTTCTGGCATTTCATCAATCTCTTCATCTTCACTTTCTAAAATTGAAATACTGTGCTTCTTTAGGGGAGTCAGTCATGTTGTCTTCCTTGTTCTTCTTTCTTGTTTTTCTGCATTTATATTTAGGCATTTGTGAAAACACTTGTTGGTTTTCTCCTCTGATGGATTTTATCTATGAACTATACCTCTGTGGCTCAGTTGAGTGTCTGTTCTTTCAGTGAATACCCAGAGATGTGTTCTGGGTATGACCAGGGCGCTGTGGTCAGTGTTCCAGGTTAGGGCGAGTATCCAAGGTGACACTCACGTTGGGCATGGTAAATTTCATCTATTGTCAGCAGGGGAGAGGGTATGATCACACCTTTTGGCATAATCACAACCTCACCTCCTGTCTTCCAAGGTGATAAATTGCCAGGGTTAGCCCACAGTGGATGCAACTCTCAGCCATGTTGGTGCAAGAACCACACAGGTATCTATGTCGTTTTTAGTGTGAGCAAGGAAACCTCTGCACTGTCCCACCCCAGGCCATTAGGGAGCTCTGAGCCTCTGATACCAGACACATTGATTGTCCAGAGACCCAGCTACACCCTGTGCCCTGTTGTGCAGTCACAGAATTCCTGCAGTAATAGCACTCAAGGCTCACAATGTCATGCGGTGTGGTCTCTACATTTTTGGGGACTCTTAGCCCTTTTGATACATGGAAAACTTAAATGTAATATTTAAATTTCTGTTTAGGTTGTATCAAGTTCCAATTCATTCATAAGTACAAAGTTATACTATAGAATTATAGGTCATTACCCACATAACCTACCAGTCTTTCCATCTAATAAGTATATTAAGCAGTTGTCATCAAAAAAAAAAAAAAGACAAAAGGAAGTCCACTAGAGTGTATGACGATGGTGAGGAGGGAGGGAAATGATCTACCACACCTATTTCAACTACTTACCAGCTCAGTGGCTTTAACCTAGTTCCTTAAATCATGAGGCTCAGTTACTTACTGACAAAGTGGGGACTACAGAATCTCCACCTGTGTGTGGATTAGCCCACTAGACTGTGGTACGAACAAATAACATGAATGCAATATATTCTTGGGGAATAAACACCAGAATAAGCAGTAAACTCAGATTTATTAAAAAAAAAAAAAAACAAAAACCCTGCACTTTTTACCTCACCCTTCTGTAAACGGAGCCTTCACTGCTATTCCCAAGAAGTCCAACAGGTAAGACTGAACTGAGAACCTTTCACTCCACATGAGAAGCTCCTGGAATTGAGAAGAACATATGCCTCTCCAGTGTGTTGTTTAGCAGTCCAATACAGCCCACTTATTTCTAATAATACTTCTGCTTCTTCCTCCAAGGAGGAGATCAGTGGCAGGGTCACTGGTGTGTCCTGTGGAGAAAGCTAGCACTGTTTCCATGGTGTTTTCCTAAGAATTCTGCCTTGTGACTATAACAAGAGGAGTGCAGATCTCAGGGGTGGTCAGCAGCTTGGCTTAGAGGTTCTAGCAAAAGGGAATTCAGTTTTCTCCAAGTGATCACAGTGTCCTGAATCATAGGCTCACATCTGGCATAAACAGCAGGAAAGTGTGTCCCCTTTCACCCTAAAATACATCCCTCACTAATGTTCCAAATCCACAGCCAGCAACATTCCTTTTTTCCAACATTAGGCATTTCTCACCCTTTCTCCTCTCTATTGGAACATAATTATCGATGATGAAACATACAGAATTCGATGTGTTTTGACAAACGTGCCCACCTGGGAAACTAATAGCCCAGTCAAGAGCGTAGAACATTTTAATTATCCCAGAGCGTTCCCTTATAGCTTTTCCATTTCATCTTCCCCATCATTATTTTCATTTCTTTCTCCATGGATGAATGTTGCCTGATCTGGAAATTCTTAAAACTAATATCTTAAGAGATGTATTTGTTTGTGTGTCTGACTTCTTTCATCCAACAGTATTTTTGAAATTCTTTACATTATTGCAAATAATGTACTATTTAATGCTTAGTAATATTCCATTGCATAATAGACCATGATTTCTGTGTTTATTTTCTAGTTGATCATAATTTGGCTTTTTTTTTAATTCTTCACCCTTAAGAGTAAAGGTGATATGGACCTTCTTGTACAAGTCATTTCATGGACAAATGTTTTTACTTCCTTTGGTAAAATACTATGGAGTGACATTCTATAAAAAATATATGCAAAAATCTATAAACATATGTAGAGATGTTCAACATCATTAGTCATAAAAGAGATGTAAATTCAAATCACATGAGACACCCTACACCCCACTAGAATGGGTAAAGTGTGCAAGTATTCTCTTTGAATAGGCAAATAAATCTGGGAAGAGTGTTATTTTAAGTTTTTAGTTTTATTACAAATCTTTACGATATACAAACTCTAGGGTACTTCAAAAATTTGTGTAAAAGTGGAGCTAAAACATAATATACACTTTCCATGACGTTTTGAAGATCTTTGCCTAATGAATAGTCTAATGAACCTGCATATGCACATCACACAGATTCAACAATTATCAACATTTTGCCATAGTTACTTATATCATTTGTCAATAAAAATCAATTGTTACATTCTCTGATGCTCACTGGGTTCCTATAACTCAATTTAATTCAGATATTAATTACTTGGACTTCATAAGAACCCCACGATTCAGTTACTTGGTCCCACAAAACAGCACCTAGTTCAGCCGCAAGGTACAAAGTAGCCCTTAGGCTGCCTGTCCTTCTTGCTGACCAATTACAGATTTGGTAATTCCCCAGGTTACCACTTTCAGGTTCAATAATTCACTAAAGCAACTCACAAAACTGACAAAAGTGTCTTATAATCATGGTTTTAAAAACAATGGACACAGGTCAGGAACAGCCCAAAGGAAGCAGCACACAGGACAAGATCTGGAGGAGGTGGAGATAATGAGTGGCTTCCATGTCCTTGCCAAGAGTGCCAACCTCCTGCACATTCATGTGTTGCCCAGACCAGGACATCCCTGAACCTTGTTGCTTGGGTTGTGATATGGGGGTCTCATTCCATAGACCTGATTGGCTAAATCATTGGATGCTGGTGATTGGACTCAGTCTCCTTCCTGTCACCATTCCTGGAGTTCTGGAGGTGGGGCTGAGAGTTCTAATCCTCTGATGATGTGATTGGTTATGTTGATGTCCAGTCTCTATCCTACAGCTCCCTGGGGCTCTCCCCAGGAGTCACTTCCTTAATGTGAACTCAAATGTAGTTGAAAGCAGCTTATCATGAATAACAAAAGACCATTTCCCTTAGGAAATTCCAAAGGCTGTAGAAGCTCTGTGTCAGAAACAGAGAACAAAAACCAAATACATGCTTTTTGGTATACTACATATGCCTTATTTGCATATTTTTTTTAATTTTTTACCTTGCTATGATATTTTAAAGAAAATTATCTATAACAAACTATTTTACTCTTAAGTAAGGGTATTTTATATGTAGTGAAAATAATATTTTTATTCCTAAGGAACAATAGTATCATGTAATATGTTCTCCATATTCAGATTTCCCTAATTATCTCAAAAATGTCTTCATACATGGTTTCCACTTACACTTGGTGGTAATATGTTTGTCTGTTTTATTCTAGAGGAGTTCCCATGCTATCCTCTCCCTCTTTTCCCATGCTGTTGAATTATTAAAGAAGCCACATCAACTGCTATAGAATCCACATTATGATTCTTTCCCAATACTCTCATTTCTCTCATTCCCATCTCTGTCTTTTATTTAAGAATGTAGATATAAAAATCTCAAGTTCATGTTCCATGATTTTAAAGCAAGAATACTTCAGAGGTGGTTTCATTTATTTTGAAAAGCATTTTTTTAGTGTCTACCGTGTTTTGGGTCTTGGGAGTTAGAAAGGTAAATACCATATGTCATAGTCTTGCCCTTAAAGATCTTACAGCCTCGTTGGGGAGGAAAGCATGCAAACCAATCAATATAATAGTATAAATGCCACAGAGGATTTGGGTGGAGGTATAAATTCTGATAGGGGCATCAAAAGTGCACAAGGAAGTGATAAATGAGCTGAGGCTGAAGGAAAAATTAGGGTTTGCAAGTCTAGGGGGAGGCAACAAGGAGCACACGAGGAAAGCATCTGTGTGTCTATATGAAGAAACACACGAATATACTGGGACCCATTTGTACAGGGTCTCCTGTGACAAATCAAATTTTATGTTTTGAGCACTGGCAAGCCCAGGGATAATGTTATCTATAGATGGGGATAGGAGAGCAGGAAAGGTAGCAGCTTGGGATTGTCAGCCCAGAATATACTTCCTAGCACCCAAGTGTGATAGATTTACCAGGAATAACCCTTCCAGCCCAAGACGTACTCCACAGTCCTGCCTTAATTCCCTAGTGTATGGTCCTGACAAAAGTTGATATTTGGCATTTTAAATGCCATATACTATGTTTACTCTGCCCTTTGTCCCATTAAGTGGCTTTTGTAACCATGGAAACAGTTATAATTTCAATGTAGAAGATAGATACTAGAGACATATGGTTGTATGGGATATGCAGGTAATATTTGCCTTCTTTTCCTGGACTGTTCAGTGATAGTGATCAAGGTATAGAGGCAGTGGCAAATCAGATAGTCCCAACGTCCAGTGTCCAGACAATCCTTGACTTTTGCTTGTTGTTCATTGCATGAGTGATGGAGCACATGCCCAGAAGAATCAATGAATCAATAATAGGTTCCAGTTTGGGAAAAATGTGAAAGTGACTCAAATTAATAAACTGGTTGGAAGTGCTAGGACAGAGACAGGACAAGCATTAGTCACCTCCCCACAATGTCATGGTCCTGGATTCCCTCTCTGGGCTGCACTGAGAACTTAGAAGCCAGATGTGTCACCACTACAAAGTGCTCACTTTTAGCCTCTATCTATAACTACTAGGTAAGAAGTTAAAATTTGGCCTATGTGTGTGAGAGGAGCCTAAGGAAAACAAAGCAGACGTGGACAAATAAGGAATGTAGAAGCCTTTAGCAGCCTCAGAAGTAGCCAGCATTTTTATAATACAAAATCCTACCCATAACCTAATAACTTTGTGTTCCCAGTCTTCCCCTGGGAAGGCAGTATAGAGGAATCCCCTCTGCCTGGTGCCAGTGCGCTACCCAGCCTGATAACATGGGGCAGTAAAACCTTGGGAGGAATTTTACCTATTTCTCACCCAGCAAACCCTTTGTCCAGCAGAAGATGGTAGGGACAGTAGAAACACGGGGAAGAACTAGACGCCATTTCCTTATAAGCCCCAGTCTGAATAAAGACTGGGTGCTCAGTCTCTCTTGAGATGCCTGTCCCATCGATCAGGTGTATTTCAGCTCTCAGCTCCCAGTTCTCTGTGGAGATGCCCACCTGGCGTGTCAGGTGTGTTCTCTTCATCAAACTATGTAACCTTGCTTTCCCTCATCCTAAAGGCTGGCATTCTCCCATTCTATCTGGAGAAGTGTCCATCCATTCTGACAGATGTCCTACCTCATTGAACCTTGCTAGCTTACTTACCACTACTCTCTGTCTCATACTTGAATTCTTTCTGACACAAAGAACCTCTATTCCACCCACCTTTACAAAGTGCAAACTTCCAGCCTCTATCCATGCCCACTTCCTTCAGGTTGGCACATTTCCCCCACATTCCCAGATGATTCTAAGGCAACTGCATCTGCAAACAGCTGAGCTAGCCTCAGTGAAGGAAAAGTGCACCCAGATGGTCAGGCATGGAGGAAAGGGTGGGCTGACACGAAGACCGGACACTAAGCTTCCTTCTCAGTGTCTAAGGCATATTCAGAGTATGTTTCCCTACTTTTTTTTATTTGATAGGTAGAATTAGACAGAGAGAGAGAGAGAGAGAGAGAGAGAGAGAGAGAGAAAGGTCTTCCTTCCATTGGTTCACCCTCCAAATGGCCGCTATGGCCAGTGTGCTGCACTGATCCGAAGCCAGGAGCCAGGTGCTTCCTCCTGGTCTCCCATGCGAGTGCAGGGCCCAAGCACTTGGGCCATCCTCCATCGCACTCCCGGGCCACAGCAGAGAGCTGGACTGGAAGAGGAGCAACTGGGACAGAATCCGGCGCCCCGACCGGGACTAGAACCCCGGGGTGCCAGCGCTGCAAGCGGAGGATTAGCCAAGTGAGCCGTGGCGCTGGCCTATGTTTCCCTACTTTCAAAACATAGTTTTATTATTTACTTTTATGTGCTGGAAAGGAGAGAGAGAGAGAGAGAGAGATACAGAGAGATTAATTTTCCACCTGCTGGTTCGTTCCCCAGATGCCCACAACATCTGGGCCTATGTCAGGAGCCTGGAACTCCATTTGAATCTCCCACAGAGGTAGCAGGGACTCAAGTACTTGAACCATCACTTGTTGCCTCCCAAAGTGTGCATTAGCAGGAAGCTGGACAGGAAGTGGAGCGAGGACTTGAACCCAAGCATTCCAATATGAGATGTGGAT